TTAACGAAGACTTAGGATTAGGGCCATAGCCAGCCTGAATCCAAGGTGTCCTCAAGGATAGAGCAATAGTAGACACAAATATGGATAGAAGTGTAACAAAAAGGGAAGTATAGCATACCATCATTCATCTTGTTACCAAGTTCAAGCTCATACTGCTCATCACACAGCAGGCCAAACCATAAAGAAATAAGGTGTTGGAACAAGGAACAGAGAATTTATTTAGAAAGTCTGCAAACCAAGAAGATGGCAGACTAATGTGCTAAAGAACTCCTCTTGCTTGGTTTGAATAAAGCTTCTTTTATGCTACAAAGAGGAAGAAATGGGAGGGAGAGAGGTCAAGAGGTGATGAGTTGTTGCAGACTCCTTGGTGCCTGCCAGGTCTTGGAGGGGACATGGTAATCCTTTGTTTTTGAGTTGTTCAACATAGGGCTGGCCATGTTGCAACTATAAATATTCAACAAAACAGATGTTATTTCCTGTTCTGCAACTCCTTATCTCTATGTGGATGAGTGGTCACCAAGCAAGGGAAAATTATCTTTCTAATGATTAGTAGACCTACAAGCTAAGCAAAAGTTTTAAAGTTTAGGCATGGGAGGCAGAGTTTCTGGAAGGGGACTATCTTCTATACTTCAAGCTACAGGCCACATTCATTGTATGATTAACACGCATACGTACAGAGTTAGCAAGGCTGGGCAGGAGGCAATTAGCTATAGAGTGCTAAGTCTAGAACTTAAAGAAATAGATTCAATATGGAGTCAGGTTTATTCTTCCCTGCTACACACTCAAATTCCCAATATGTGTAGTTAATGAATTTAAAGAAGTCAAAGGAGATTTTTAAAACAGACAAAAACAGATTTGAAGTTAAGCGACTCTCTATTTTTAAATCTTACATTTATCAATTGAGGAAAGTATGCTTCCCCTATGTAATTTCTACTCTGATAGTGAGGGCAAGATGAGATAGTAGACATGAAAATATTATTTACAATATGAAAGGGATGGTATTACAAAATTATGGCAAATCTGCAATGAGAGTCTATGTCTTTCCTTTGCAAAGCAGAGAAGAAAATCCCTAGAGTCCTGAGAGGAAGGCCCATGTACATAGGGAGACAAAGTAAATCAGAAAAATATTTCAGGCAGAATCAAGCATAGGCTTGAATCTCTAAGTTGAGATTCAGGTTAATAAAGTAGTAATTTCATTCTGGAACTAAAATGAAGGCTTGTATGGAAGTAATAAAGCATCTTTCCTTTATGATCAAAGAAACTGAGACTGAAAGAACTTTATGGTGAATGTGGGGTAGACATAAGGCAATGGATGAAATTTGTCAGAAATCAGAGAAAACTCAGTTCTTATCTCTGAACTGAAACTAACTTGCAAGAATTCATTTTCTAGGGCTTCCATAAGGAAGTCCCACAAACTTAGTGGCTTAGAGCTATGGAAATGGATGGTTTTACAGTTTTGGAGGCTAGAAGTCTGAACTCACAGAATCATCATGGCCATGCTTCCTCTGAAACCTGTAGGGAAGGATGCTTCCTTGCCTCTTCCAGCTTTTGCTAAGCTCAAACATCCCCTGGCTTATGGCAGCACAACTCCAAGCTCTGTCACCATTCACAGGACATCTTTACAAGGCCAACTTTTTATGAGGACATCAGTCATATTGGATTAGGGGTCCATCCTACTCTAGTTATGACCTCATCTTAACTAATTACATTGGCAGAGATCCTATTTTCAAATAAAGTCACATTCTGAGGTCCTGCAAGGAAGGATTTCAATATATCTTTTGGGGAGAATATAACTCATCCTGTAACATCCTGTAACCTAGTACAAATCATTTCTTAAGAATTCTGTGTCATCTAAACTGCTTCATCCTGACTGGGTCAAAGAAATAGTGGTTGAGACAAATTGATCTGAATCTCCCAGTCTTTTCTGCCCTAGCCCTACCTAGGCTATTTGAGAAAGGCAGCAAGACTGACCTTGAGTCCAATTCAAGGCCTGGTCAAGCTCCCCATAACCCTGATTTGTGACTCAGGCCTCTGAGGTCTTGCTTAATAATTGCACTGCATCATCTTAAATAAAAACATGTAATTCATATATCAAAAAAATCTTTCAAAAATGACCCCAAAGTACTGCCCCTGATTTTACCTAAAAGGTAAAATCAATACCTAAATAGATGGATTTTGAGTGTTGAAGACAGTTCAATCTGCCAGAAACATAACATTTATGGAGGGAAGGGTACACCTGAAAATTTTACCTAATGTCAAATCAGGAAGGGTGAGTGCTCCATGGGAGAATTTAAAATTGAAAGTGTAAGAATTCAGGAGGAATCAAATTATTTTTAATATAAGAGTGATGTCAACAAAACAGACCTTTAGAAAAGTCATAGAATAAAAGCTGGGTGTAGAAGAAGAGAGACTGGAAAAAGATCTGGGAAGTGTGAGGAGGAGGAACCTTCCTTCCAGCCCTCTTGAATGATTGTGGCTGGACTAATTAAAAAAGCCACCCAAGACAGATTGACAGGAGGAAAAGAAACAGTTTAATTTGTATGCAAGGAGGTCTTACAGAAATGTGTCCTCAGAAGTGGTCAAAGCAGGCAGCTTTTATACTTTTCAGACAAAAACAATAAACTTGTGAGGAATTGACAGGACAAAGAAACTTGGGCTTGGATGCTTAATTAGTGAAAAATCTTAATAGAGTTTGGGCTTGGGGTAGTAAATTAAGGAAGTAACATTTTGGTTTATACAGATTCTCTGCTCTTGCGTAAGTCATTTCTTTTTTTTAAAAAAAGAAATATTCACTTACTTGGCTGCGTTGGGTCTTAGTTGTGGCATGAGGGATCTTTCGTTGTTCTGAGTGGGCTCTCTAGTTCTGGTGTCTAGGCTTAGTTGCCCCACAGCATGTGGGATCTTAGTTCCCCAGCCAGGGATACAACCCAAGTCCTCCACATTAGAAAGCAGATTCTCAGCCACTGGACCACGTCTGCCTCCTTTCCTCCTGCTCCGTGTGTTCTTCCTTCGATTCTCGTTGTTAAAGGCCAGGACCCAAGGTGCTCAAAAGCTTATGAGGAATATTGGAATAAAACCTGGGCAGTTGGGACTTTAGACCATTTGACTTACTGATAAGATCTGTTCTGAAGTGTCTTCTTACCATTCAGGGGCTAGTTATTGCAAAAAGAGCAAATGTAAATCACCTCAGACAGTGAAGATTTAGTTGCAACAACTGATGATTCATGTGGAACCAGAGTGAGGACTCTATGGTAAGAGCCAAGAGTTTGCTTTCATTTCACCGTTACTAACCTGTGACCTTTGAGATGTCACTCTCTCTGTGAGCTTCGGTTTTCTCATGCAAAAAGATGAACATATGGATGAAAAATAGTTGCTTAAATGTTTCAGGCCTTGGGCTGAGTTCTTCATAGTTAGAATCACATTCCATTCTCAAAGCAGCCCTAGGAGGTAAACATTGTTACTACCCTGATTTTACAAATGAGAAAACTAAGGTACAGAGACATTAACTTTTTCTGAGATAAGGAGCTAGTCAATACCCTTATCATAGGTATATATCATAGTCTAAGGTTTAGCCATTTTTAAAAATGAGAAGGTGAGAGGCCAAGGAGCTCATGAATCTGTGTAGGCCTGTGTCAAGAGGAGGACACTTTCACATGGCTGCTCCAAATGCCTGAGGACCTGCTCGGCTGGATCCGATATCAGCGAGCAGGCCACAGATTATAAGGTCTTTGAGAAGAAATTTGAGATAACAGAAAGCTTATCTTCCAACAGAGTTCATGAGAATTCAACCCCATCCAGACTTCAGTTTCAGGAGCAGAGAAAGCCTTTTGTGTGAACCTGGAAGAGGCAGGGCAGATGGAAGGGACTGGACGTAAAAGGGCTTAGAATTAAGAGGAAGAAGGTATCACTTCAATAAACAGGAGAGTTCAGTAAAGCTGAGCTGTCAGGGAAAACCTGGAGGGGAGAAAATGGGAGTGAGGATGGGTGGGAGAAATAACTCTGACTCTTCACCAATTCAAATATTAATGCTTTCCAACAAATTTCAGATTGTTACCTTATTAGGATCTTACTAGAAATAGTTTTATGGAGTAAGTGGGGGTAGAGATGATTATTGATAGCAAATGAAGCTTAGTCAAGCCCAAGGCAACCAAGGAAGATTCTCCTGTTTGCATGCTTAGTCTTGTCCGACTCTTTGCGACCCCATGGACTGTAGCCTGCCAGACTCCACTGTCAGTGGAATTTTCCCACCAAGAATACTGGAGTGGGTTGCCATTTCCTTCTCCACGGAAGTTTCTTAACTCATATTTTAGAGCTTTCTCCCAGATAACTTGCCCTGTGAATGTGTACCCATCATTTGTGTTACTCCTGCATTAACAAGCCCTTCTCCAGGGGAGAAGTTCAAGAGTGTCTGAGACACTCAGGCCCCCACAGCTGGACTTCATAGTTAGAAAATACAGTGTGCTGTGGATTAAGTGATGAAAGTTTGAGGGGACAGGACAAAGGATTAATAGTCACGTGGGACAATGCTTTTCAAACTTTAGTTTGCATATAAATTACATGAGAATATTGATTTTAAAAAACAGATTCTGATTCAGTGGTGGTGACTTTACTTCCTGGGTGCAGAGCTGGCACCTGGGAACTGCCAAGCACTTGGAGAAGGTAGAGGCAGTATTTCAAGTTCCAAAGGGGGAAGCCTCCACTTTTACCTGCCAGGATACGGGTGCCAGAACCACCAGTGGGTGGCCTGTCAAGGGGAGGTACTGGGTGCAGCTGAGCTTCAGGGCTTTTGGTCTGGGGTGGAAGAGTGAGGGGGGAGGTGAATGTTGGGGAGAGGGAAGAAGAGGAAGGGGGAGGGATCGCAGGGTGGAGGGAGGTTTGCCCGTGTGTTAATGCTTCTCTGTGATTGGAGGATGAATCTTCAAACTGGTCCCTGCCGGGAGCTCAAAAGGGGTTGAGATCCCTGGGGATCTGAGACTTGCCTGGAATTCCTAGTTCGAGCCATGATCCTGCAGCTCTGGGCCTCCTGTCTTTTCCCACTGTTCCTGGTCGGCTTAGCTCAGCTGACTCCGAAGCAGCAACAGATGAAGGTAAGTGTCCTGCAGGGAACCCAGGTGGGTTCCAGCACTGATGGCAAACTAGGCTGCCAAGGAAGCCAGGAGTTCTCCCTTCTTCTCTCCTAGGAAGGACGAGATTCATCTCCCCAGCCTTTCCTAACTGACACCTGCCATTGCCACTCCTGTTCTCTGAGGCAGAGGCTCTCCTAAACTGCCTGTCTTTACATGGATCATCTTCCCTTAGCCTGATGGGTCACTGGGCAGAAAGTGGAAAAGTGAGTGAAGGACGAAGGCTGCTTTCCCTGTGTTCTGCTTTGCCACTTGCCCCTGGTGGCCGCTGGATAGCCCAGAACCCATCCTGTCCACCCTGGTCTGGAACACTGGGCAATCTTGCAGGTCCGGGAAACAGGGATGTGAAGTAGTAACTGAATGGAGAAGGAGGCTGAACTGGCAGCTCTTGGAGAAGCTGAAACCCTTGGGCAGGTGGAAAAAGAAGCTGGTGCTGAAATGTGCCCTAAGGAGTTCCAGAGTTGGGAAAGAGGGGCTTTTTTTTTTTTTTTTTTTTTTACTTTCAGGGAATAATAAAAGGCAAAAGGCAAGGAGAATTGCTTGCTGGTTTTAATTTCAGGGGAAGTGATGTGGCAAGAGCTCAGATCAGAGTAAGATCTTTGCTTTTAAGTCTTGGTACTGCTCCAGATCACCAAATGCTTCCCCCTACCCCAGGAAAATGTCCACATTTGCTGTCAGTAGCACCCTGTTAAAGATGTGTATATGTGTCTTAGGATGCAAAGTGGCGACTGAAGTAAACGACTTAAAGCAACAAGTTTTAAGTTTAAAATCGGGCATATTCATTCAAAAACACAGCTTCACTGTGATATTAAGCCAGTTAGACATCTTTTATTGACCCCTTTCTTTCCTCTCTAAAAGTTGGAGAAAACCTATCTTGTAGTGTAGTGATCCCCAGATTTCAACTCACGTAAGTATCACCTAGAAAGTTTGTTAAAGCACAGGTTACTGGGTCACACCTCCAAAGCTTCTGATCCAGTAGGTTTTAGTAGAGTCCCAAATTTGCTTTTCTAATTTGTTCTCAGATGATACTTGTGCAGGTCCTCAAACCACACTTCAAGTGCTCTATTATTGGGTTCATGTGAAGTGTAAAATGGTGTATATAACATGAATCTATTATAAATGTAATATCAAGACTGGTAGCTGTAGTAAGATCATTTCCCTTCTCTGAAAAAAAAAAAAAAAGCATCCATTGAGGGCCATCCACATCTGTGTCAGCAGCAGCTGCCTGATTGGGTGTGGAATTTCTGCTGTAGAATATTATCTTGTGAGTAAAAGGCTGTGTTTTTAGGGCATCCTGATCTCTTCAAACAGACCTAAGCAAATTGGAGCAGAACTGAAAGCCAAGAAGGAAAGATCGGGCTCTTCCAAGCTGCAGTATTCTTGGGATTCTACATCCCAGTTCACAAGGTGGCATCCATACATGATAAAGACAGCCGGAAGCTGCTGAGGCATTTTAGCATCTTGTTCCAGATCCTGTCGGCTTTTTTCCCTTGCCATGTTTGTAGATAGGAATTCTGTTCCCTTTGCATCCTATTTTACACAGAGATAAGAAAGGGCATTGAGGATGAATTTTCTAAGTACCAATAAGCCCCTACTGGCAAAGCTTTGGAAAATGCCTCTGGGATCTAGAGGAGGAACAAGTTATTTGCTGGGCTCTGGGGAAAGGAAACTACAATGTGAGAACATATGGGTGAGAAATTTATGCAAAACATATTTCTTTTATGAGAAACTCTGCCAAAATCTGTTAAAAATATTTGCGAAGAGATAGGATGACTGGAATGGGGTGTTAGGATATGGAAGAGAGTGCAGGTAAACTGTGAATTGTCAATCGGAGGATGACAGTAAATTGTATTAAGATTCAAGGAATGGAAAGATGATTATAAAGTGCTTGTCCCACCACTGCAAAAATGATTTTAAATTAGAAGGTATAAATTCTAGCTGTGGCATTGTTGTTGTTTAGTCGCTAAGTTGTGTCTGACTCTGTGACCTCATGGACTATAGTCCACCAGGCTCCTCTGTCCATGGGACTTCCAAGGCAAGAATATTGGAGTGGGTTGCCATTTTCTTCTCCAGGGGATCTTGCCGATCTTGGGATCGAACCCGAATCTCCTGCTTGGCAGGCAGATTCTTTACCACTGAACCACCTGGAAAGTCCCAGTTGTGGCATTCAGTCAGTTCAATTGCTCAGTCATGTCTGACTCTGCGACCCCATGAATCGCAGCACACCAGGCCTCCCTGTCCATCACCAACTCCTGGAGTTTACCCAAACTCATGTCCATTGAGTTGGTGATGCCATCCAGCCATTTCATCCTCTGTTGTCCCTTTCTCCTCCTGCCCCCAATCCCGCCCAGCATCAGGGTCTTTTCCAATGAGTCAACTCTTCACATGAGGTGGCCAAAGTATTGGAGTTTCAGCTTCAGGATCAGTCCTTCCAATGAACACCACATTAGCCGTAACTAAAAATATTACTTGGAATATTCTCTTCAGTTCTTAGAGTTTCAAAAAGTTCACAGACGTTAGAGATTATCATTTGCTTTATCATCGCATCGCTATGGTTATTTTTGTTATATTTCAGGTGGATTGCTATAAGGGGGTGACAGGCACCATCTATGAGTATGGAGCCCTCACCCTCAATGGTGAGGAGTATATCCAATTCAAGCAGTATGCGGGCAAGCATGTCCTGTTTGTCAATGTGGCCACCTATTGAGGCTTGACAGCTCAGTATCCAGGTAAGAACTCATGTTTCAACTCTCTTGGAGCTAGCTTTGTCATATGGCCATAGTCTAATTCCAGAAAGTGAGAGTGAAGTCGCTCAGTCATGTCTGATTCTTTGTGATCCCATGGACTGTAGCCTACCAGTCTGTAGGCTGTCCTACAGCCTAAAATCTGTCCATGGGATTTTCCAGGCAAGAATACTGAGTGGGTTGCCATTTCCTTCTCTAGGAGATCTTCCCGACCCAGAGACTAAACCCGGGTCCCCTGCATTGTAGGCAGACACTCTACCGTCTGGAGTTAGGGAAGTCCTAACTCCAGAAGGTTTTGCTAATTTGTTATTGGGAAGAAACAAGCGTCTGGGGGAAGGTAGGTGATCATGTGACTTTATCCCCTACATCCTGCCACTGCTCTGCTCCTTAGAAATGTCAGGAGAATTATATTGGGATTTGAGAACTAAGATTCTCCCAGAGATTTAGCAAAGACCACCAGGAATGTATCTGTATTTGAGTTTGTTGCTCAATGTTCTAAGGGAAAACATATACTGTAGGGAACCATGGGGCTTCTCAGTAAGAAGATGTTATTAATAGAAAGGACTTATTTGAGGATCTGAGCTTGTGTTACGTGAGGGGAAGGGTTCAAGGGACTGAAACTTGGTTCTGGATTGGATGCTGTCAGGAAATGAGGAAACGGGCACAGTGAAGTGATTGTTATCTTAATAAATCATATCTACAGAGTAGGAGGAATAAAACAAGGATAAGCAAACAGCAATCACTTAGATTGGTAAGAATACGGTGATACTTGGTCATTTTTGTGATTTGAATAATGTTCATGTTTTGTCTGGTTAAAGGTCACTTGTATGATACTGATCTTCTGTGAAATTGTTTATGTTCAAGAGGAGAACAACAAGCTCTAGCTATAACTCCCAGGCCAGAATCTAGCTTTCAGGGGCTAATTTTATCTTTCTCACTGGTAACTTCTGGTAACAAGAGAGAAGATTGACCTTTGAGCCTCTGGAAAAATACCCTTGGGTTCTGCAGGCACTTCCAAATGGCAGAGAAGAGGAAATGTAGTTACTATCTATGCACTCTTTAATTGGAGTGAGGGCTAAGAGGATATGCCAGCAGATAGAGCTGAGTCTGATTAGGACTGGCTGATGCTGGTCATGAAGTCAATAAATCTGAACTGAAAATGGCTGAAGTTGGAAATAATGGCACAAGTCCAGACAGACACTGGGAAGCTTCCTGGCAGTGGGAAAGAGCAGTTTGGAGTCTGTAGCCTTAGAATCAAATGAGTCTTTCAGGGAAATGGCAACATTTATGTCACTGGAACTGACAAAAAGAATGCTCTGGAGCTAGACTTGGCATTTCTCTGATCCCCTCTATACTCACAGCTTAGAGCAGCAAAGAGTGCTCCTGGGAGGGTGACTGGAGTGTAACATTGTGTCACCATGGGGCAGAGTGGGAGGATGGGGATAGAATGTCCATATTGTTTGCCATTCCTTAAAACATTTTTTGATCAATCAACTAAGGAAGGCAATGGCATTTAAATCTGACTTCTCTTCAGAATCAAACGGGACCCGCCCCCAACACACACACACACACACACACACACACCCAATCTAAGCAATATGTGCTTTTAAAGAAGGGCTCCTATTGGATGACAAAGTTGAGCCACTTATGGGAACTTCTGCACAAGAAAAATGGCAACTGTTTGGATGTGTTTTTGGAAGTCTGTGTTCTAGCCTTTTGCTCTGTTTCCTCAAACTTTGTGATCTTGAATCTTTCCCTTCATAGTCCTCAGCTTATTCATGTGATAGATACTGCTTTTACTGCTCAAGATAGAGCTACCCATGCTGTTCACCCTCTGCTTACAGAACTGAATGCACTACAGGAGGAGCTGAAGCCTTTCGGTGTAGTTGTATTGGGCTTTCCCTGCAACCAATTTGGAAAACAAGAGCCAGCAAAGAACTCAGAGATCCTTATGGGGCTCAAGTAAGTGCCTGCTTTGGACCCTGCGAGACCATGTTAGAATTTTCCTTCCACATTCCACCTAGAGGCCTCTCATTCTGGAGACTTCTGGGGTGATTGACAGATTAATTGGTTCAAGAACGTCATTTTGATGCCTTGAATTCAGTTATGTCCTGCTGGTAGTGCTCAACAATTCTCTCTACCTTTGAGTTGTTTAATGATAAGACTACAGGAAATCTAATGAAAAAGAAGCACATGAAAAAGGAGAAAACCTAGGAAATAGAAATGAATCAAGAATTTTAACCTTAAAATATTGCTTTCCAATTTTCTTTTTAAATATTTTTATTGGTGTATAGTTGATTTACAATATTGTGTTAAGTTCAGATGTATAGCAAAGTGAATCAGTTTTACATGCACATATATCCACTCTTTTAGATCTTTCCCCCATGTAGGTCATTACAGAGTACTGAATAGAGTTCCCTGTGCTATACAGCAGGTCCTTATTACTTTTCTATTTTATATATAGTAGTGTGCCTATCTCAATCCCAATCTCCCAGTTTATCCTTGGTAACCATGACATTGGGCTTCCCGGGTGACTCAGATGGTAAAGAATCTGTCTGCAATGCAGGAGACCTGGGTTTGATCCCTGGGTCAGGAAGATCCCCTAGAGAAGGGAATGGCAACCTGATCCAGTATATTTGCCTGGAAAATTACATGGACAAAGGAGCCTGATGGGCTAGAGTCTATGGGGCCACAATTAGTCTGATAGGACTGAGCACACACAACCATAAGATTCTTTTCCATATCTGTGACTCTATTTGTTTTGTAAATAAGTTTATTTGTACCATTTTTTAAAGATTCAATATATAAGTGATAACATATTTGTTTCTCTCTGTTTGACTTAATTCACTTAACTTACTGTGATAATCTCTAGATCCATCCATGTTGCTGTAAATGGCATTATTTCATTCTTTTTTATGGCTGAGGAATATCCTGCTTCCAATTTTCTTGGAATTCTCTATTGGCTCCTTAAAGCATATACATGAAGTCCTGATTCCCAAAGACCGCTCTTTCCTCATCTTCCCTGTCTACAACCTCTCTTTATCTCTAATTTCACTTTGTGGCCACATTGTGGTGGCCATTATTATCCACCCTTTTCTTAATTTGAATGGTCTCAGGATTGTTCTGGTTCATTGCAGGTATGTACGTCCAGGTGGTGGCTTTGTTCCCAATTTTCAGCTCTTTGAGAAAGGGGATGTGAATGGAGAAAAAGAACAGAAGGTCTTTACCTTCCTGAAGGTAAGTGAACATAAACCTGGCAAGAATTGGTCAGATAGGTAACAATGCCCTGAAAGCATGGGGCTCAAGTCTAGGATTGAGTTTGGACTTCTTGGAAAGAAATTCTCAGATAAGTTCATGGATAGTGGCAATATTTGTTGTGAAGCTTTAGCTTCAAGTAACGGAAACATATAAATATGATTGCTCTAATATAGACTAACTTTCCTTACTGAATGGTAATGATTCATTTATTCAACATTTATCAAATCTTTTGTTATGTGCAAGAACTGTGCTACACAATGAGTTAACAAATGTTAATAGGGCATAATTTCTTCCTTGAAAGAATTCATATCTAATCAGAGAGACACAGAAATAGGTAATAAAGAGTGTCACAGAGTATTAGAACCATAGAAAACAGAACAGAACAGAACAAAAGGACCCCCTTTTTTTAAGCTAAAGAAACTGAAGCTTTAGAAGTGTTAAGACTTACCAAAAAACAAAACAAAACACAAAAACAGAAGATAGTCTTTCTTTGAAGCACTGTGATATAATCATGGGATTGAGGGAGAAACAGAGAAAGGAATAAACTTTTCTATTTGCTATCATACTAACTCTTGGTTGTTGATGTACTGGTAATGATGTATTGAAATGTCTATGGTTCATTAGGAGCATGTCAATTAGTTAATATACTGAGATACATACTGGTGAGTAGACACTCTAGGGGTGGGGATAAGACGAGACCACACAGAAACAGAAAAAACATTGTTGATTTCTCTCTCTCTGCTCCAGAACTCCTGCCCTCCAACCTCTGATCTTTTGGGCTCATCAAGTCAGCTCTTCTGGGAGCCCATGAAGGTCCATGACATTCGCTGGAACTTTGAGAAGTTTCTAGTGGGGCCTGATGGAGTCCCTGTCATGCGTTGGTACCACCGGGCTTCAGTCAGCACAGTTAAATCAGACATGCTGGAGTACCTGAGGCAGTTCAAAAGCGAATAGGAAGATCCAGACCCTGTCAGAAGTTGCCTCCCATCTGAAGAACATGTTTAAGGATCCCATCTTTGCTTCAGGTCCTTTCCCACCCAGCCTCCACATGACCAAACTATCCTGTACAGCCCAAATGTGTGTGTGTGTGTGTGTGTGTGTGTGTGTGTGTGTGTGTGAGAGAGAGAGAGAGAGAGAGAGAGAGAGAAACAATTAAGGAAAAGAAAACCTGTCTCCCAACTCTCTAATCTCAAAATATCAGATTTTTTCCACTCCATTCCAAAGGAAAATCATATTATAGATAGGGACTACCCATGTCCCTAAAAACACAATCCCCAGAAGTCCTGACATCCATCCTTTCCCAATGCTGAAGGTTTAAGAAAAGCAGAAACTGGCAGCAAGACTCTCAGGATCTCCTTAATAGCCTCTTCTCTCCTCCAAGACAGGCATGCGTTAAATTCTTCCTCTCCCTAGTTAGTTTTCATCTAGTTCCCTGATACCCCGAGTTCTCTTGTAGGATCTCTGAAGGCAGAGTGAGAGCAGAAACTTCATCTCACATGAGCGGAGGGGCATCTCCATGATGGTGGGTCCCAAAGCCCCTGTGGGCAGGACCCAACCAGAACCTTCCTTGGTGCCTGTCCCTTAGTGCATTCAGGTCATGGCACCTGGGCAGGGATGTTCCTTCATTCGGAATGATGGGTTTCTCTCCTCACCCTTTATAAACTCATCCTTATCGCTGTCTCAAATTAAAAAGAATTCTGCAGCAGCTGGTTTCCCGTGGTGTTTTTCCAGTCCTATATTATGTGTGGAGTCATACCACTTCTTCCTCTCACTTCGTTTCTGCTTCCTTAAGTACCTAGCTCACCTAGCTGTTAAGTATTTTGTTTTTCTCATAAGTGCTCTAGACCTTTCGTTGGCTCATCCGAAAACACTGGGTGGGACTGGCTGCACACAGTTGCCGGGACACAAACACGGAACTCTCAGAGTCAGCCCCCGCACTGCTTCATTCAGATCCCCTGGGGAGTCCCTTCTTGAATCTTCTCTCTCTCTCAACAAATAGGCATACATTTTTGTTTACAAAATTAATTTCTGCTCACTATTAAAAATCTAAAAACACATACAAGTAGAAGAAAAGCATACCAAAACCCACTTCTAATCAGAGGAGTCAAGAATATACAGGAAGCCATATCTAGCCCATGCTGTTTTATAATTAAACTTCAATCTTCATATGAAGACAAATTTGAGAATATCAGAAACAGAAAAGATTGTATGAAGAATAAAATAGGTGTTTTTTTCTTTCCCTTTTCACAAATTACTATTAACACAGCTACTTGCACTTTATTTTTTAATTATTATTATTATTTTTAATTAGTTGGAGGCTAATTACTTTACAATATTGTAGTGGTCTTTGTCATACACTGACATGAACCAGCCACGGATATACACATATTCCCCATCCCGATCCCCCCACTTGCACTTTAAAAGGGTCTTTTTGTCCTTAAAAAAGTACACGAAATGTAAGTATCAGTGAGTAATGTCAAATATAATCCTGGTTCGTACCTAAATAGATGTGATCCCTGACTTAATCTTTATACAGCAACATGAAAATTGACAGACTAAGCCAGAAATGACCAGGAAAGTGATTCTTAAGACTAAATATTCATAGATGATAGACACACATGAGAAATGGAAAATATTTTCAAAGTATTTGGATGTTTTGTCTTCTTGAACTCAAAATCTAGTAAGAAAAAAAAATTGATTAAAAAAACAAAGCTGGGGGGTGGGGGGACTTCCCTGTGGTCCAGTGGCTAAGACTCCATGCTCCCAACACAGGGGGCCCGAGTTCAATCCTTGGTCAGGGAACCAGATCCCACATGCTGCAACTGAAGGGCCTACACATTCCCACAAAGATTGAAGATCCTCTGTGCTGCAGTTAAGACCCAGTACAGCCAAAAAAAAAAAAAAGCTGAGGCTTCCCTAGTGGTTCAGTGGTATAAAGAATCCACCTGCCAATGCAGGAGACACAGGTTTGATCCCTGATCCAGGAGGATCTCACATGCCCCCCACATGCCACAGAGCAACTAAGCCAATGTGCCACAGCTATTAAGCCTGTGCTCTAGAGCCCAGGAGCCCACAACTACCAAAGCCTGGGCACCCTAGTGCCCATGTTCCTCAACCAGAGAAGCCACAGCAATGAGAAGCCCAGGTACCGCAACTAGAGAGTAGCCCCTGCTTGCCACAACTAGAGAAAAGCCCTTGAAGCAACAAAGACCCAGCAGAGCCAAAAATAAATAAAATTATATATTTTTAAAAAACTGAATGTCCTTGAACATGTCTGACTCTGTGACCCCATGGACTGTAGCCCACCAGTCTCCTCTGTCCATGGAATTTTCCAGGCAAGAATACCACAGTGGGTTGCCATTTCTTACTCCATGGTAACTTCCTGATCCAGAGATCAAACCCACATCTCTTGCATCTCCTGCATTGTCAGGGAGATTCTTTACCACTGAGCCAGCTGGGAAGCCTATCCTTGGTCATAACCCACAGGATTTGAGACACCATACATCTTTTACTAGGCAATAGGGTAATTAGGGCAGTGACAGGATTGCAGAACCAGCTACCAGTGGTATTGAAAAATGTGTGCTTCATTTATTAGTTATCTTTAAATCTCTGCAGTTCTTAGAGAACCCCCAAGGACCTGAATTGTCCTCAGAAGGGTTCCAAATCTGTCACTATTTTCAAATCAGAATACTCAAGGTGCAGGAAGTGGGTGGAGGATGATGGGATGATACAATGTATAAAATCCTCTCAAGATACTGGTCCAGCCCAAATCAGGAAACTAGTTGGACAAAAGTGGATGCCCCAGGGGAGCAACATCCTATGTTCCACAGTGAAGAACCTAAAATGATGAAGGCGGAGAACTGTGGCTTCAACCTGAGTCTGTTACACTTGAGTGTTTGCTGCTGCTAAGTCGCTTCAGTCATGTCCAACTTTGTGTGACCCCATAGACGGCAGCCCACAGGCTCCTCCGTCCCTGAGATTCTCCAGGCAAGAATACTGGAGTGGGTTGCCATTTCCTTCTCCAATGCATGAAAGTGAAAAGTGAAAGTGAAGTCACTCAGTTGTGTCTGACTCTTAGCGACCCCATGGACTGTAGCCTACCAGGCTCCTCCGTCCATGGGATTCTCCAGGCAAGAATACTGGAGAGGGTTGCCATTTCCTTCTCCACTTGAGTGTCTAGGAGGTCTCAATCCTGCCACTGTTCTGGAAAGTCCAGGTGTCATACCCCTTATGCCCTCCAGTGGCTGGCCCTGAAGAGAAAAAAGAGAGGTTGTTCTGGGGATAGCCAAGACCAGAGAAATGAAAAAAAAAAAAAAATTCCCTTGCATTGGGAGATGAGGGCCGGTGAGAGAAGGGTGTGGAAGCAGCAGTCCTGATCCAGCAGTCCAGAATGTTGCTTCTGATGATGGTAGTCTTTATAAAAAGAGAAGATCAAGAGATACAACTTTCTACTTCTCCCTTCCTCACCAATCCATGTAACAGATCTTAGCCCTGGAGAAAGCCATAGGCAGAAACTTCTGGGAGGGGCAGACTGCCCAGAAGGGTCTCAGGAACTCTAGTCTGTTACAGCAGTTAAAACTTGACTGTGACTATCATGGTGATCATCACTCTTATTACTGGCACTACTACTGCTGTGAATTATTTATTTTTGAACCAGAGGTTCATACAATCTATCGTGGAAAGACCTGAGCTAATTGGCTCCAAAACCAGTATTGTCACATGATCTACTACCCAAACACACCACCCAGCAGGCATGTAGAATCAATAAGGCTCTGCTAATCACAAAACCTTTGAGGAGAGTCCCTGGGGACAGTGTTCTAAAGTCCCAGAGAACCAGGACTGAGACCTTCTCAAACTGTCCTTTCCCAGTTTGTTAAGCAGCCCATCCCTGGAAGTAAGACCCCAATCCAGTCTCCCCCATGAGAGATGCTGCAGAGATGTGGTATTTTCCCTGTGGACTGTGTGCTTCTTAGGCTTTGAAAGTCCCCACGGTAGTTCTGGAAGCTGGATTCCCCAAACCTTGATAAAGAGTAGCCAAAGTCTCTTCCACAGCACATTGAATCTTGCTCTGGGATCTCATGAATACTCCTTGACTTGGCTTCAGGTCCCAGTAGACAGACGCTGAGACTAGGATTCAGGTACACATAATTTATTGAGAGAGTAGTTTAAGAAAAGGGAATCAGTGAAGAAAGATAGGGCAGGGGAAAGAGAGAAGTAAGGATGCAACTTCTGATGGAGTTTAGCTTCAGATAAATTGCACTATAATTATTTCCACCGTGAAGGAAGAGGGATGGACTTTTGTAACACGTTCATCAATCATTAGCTATGGGCTCACCCTCCGACCCCAGAGGCAAAACCAGTGTGAGACGGCTCCCCTTGGTTAAAGGAAATTCTCTGAAGAAGATGGCAGCTGAGGATAATGAGACGGCTTTGGAACTGTGACGACCCTGAGAAGAGTCTCAGGTTTGTCGGCGGAGTTTAGGGGTCCGCGAAAAGAAGTTACATTTCTTGTCCGCAACCGGAAAACAGACGAGCTCCCCTCCCCACTCCCAGCCCCCTCATCTCTAACCACCTGGAATTCGAGGCGCGACCTTTTAAAGAACCTGTTGTAAAAGATATGGAAAGAAACACCTGTGCGACAGACGCACTTTTTCGCTGAATACGTTCATGGCCTTAATTCCCAAAGTTCAGGGCTGGGATCCGTGATGCGCCTCTTCGTAGCCACCAGGGTCCTGCGGGTTCCCACCCTAAGGACGCAGTCTGGACCGCTCCTCGGGTCTCTCCTCCCCGGTCCGGGGTCTCTCAGCCCACGTCATGAGTCGTCTCAGCTCCCGCCTGTCCTTGGGGCCCCCAGACCCACCCCAGCTCCCAGGGCCCTTCCCCCACCCACACCGGGCCTGCAGGGGACGCGCAGCCACGAACCTGTGCGCAACGTCCCCTCGTCCGGCTTTATG